AAGGAAAGATGGCGGAGGCGCCTCTAGGGGACCCGGAAGCACTTACCCTCCACTTCCTCCTCCTGTTTGCAGTCTGTCTCACCTAGAGCCGTCCGGTCGCAGACTGTCTCCGAGACGCTTCCTGTCCGGTGAGTGTCGACCGACTGAAACGGCGGCCCATAATGCATTGCGATAGCGGGTAGGCGGGTGGGGGCGGGGCCAGGGCCGGAAGTAGAACGGTGGCGGCGGCGGTGGCTGGACTGAGCTCTGGACTGAGCTCTGGACTGAGTGCAAGGTGACTGAGGGGTAGCTGGACTAGCTTAGCCTTTTAGGACCACAATTCTGAGTTTCTTCACGGGGTCTAGGCTGTCTATTACCTTTGCCCTTCAGGAGAGAGCAACTTTCTGTCCCGGGCACCTTCACGGCCTGGTCTGGGGGGGTCATTGCAGACCTCGGTGCTTTTAGGCCTCAAAGTTCGCTGTAGACTCATTATATAACCTTGATAGTACCGCTCTGAGGGCAAACGGGATGGCGCGGATTGCAGGGAGGCGGCGGGGTTGGGGGTTTCATAGACTCGTAGCCCAGCTGTAGCAACTCAAGGTCATGCTCGTGGAGCTGATCTGCAGCCAGGCCTGCCCAATCCCGATGACGCGCGGGCATCGCTCTGAACTGTTTAAAGCAGAACGTGCACCAAAAGAGGGAAAAGGGTGATAGTCTTAAAAGTTCACAACCTAAAAATGTTGATAGTGCTAAAACTTGGTTAGACACCTTTGTTTTACACTCTCTTTTCGAGCACAATCCTACACACCTCAACAACTCCAAGGAACTGGACGCTAACTTGAGGGAGGGGGTTGGGGACAGGCTTATGCGAACACAATAAGGTTTTCCGGAATGAAAAAGAGAGCGAGTCAAGTTAGGTGGCTTGTGAATTTTTAGAAATATGCTTTGAAGAGTCGGCCAAAGAACTAACCTTAGGCTGGTCAGCCATCACTGTAAACAGAACCACGCTCCCTTTGTGCCGTGCTGTACCTTTTTCTTGCTATTGCCTTCCCAGTCTTTTAAAGAATATGCCAAAACCCTGTCATAGGCTTTCATGGCACTACATGGTACTCGAATAGAGAACTTATACCACAGTTGGTATTTTACGCTTGTTTGTGTAATAAGTTGGTATTTTACACTTGTTCTGTGAGCCAGTGGACGGTACACACCACACACTAGATAATTTAATAAGTGGGGGGAAAAATGAAAGAGAATAAAGGAAAAAGAGCAAGTTTTGGTAGTGAGATTATGTGTTCATTTTTTAGACAAGTTGAATTTGAGGGCCCTGTAGAACTTAGGAAGGGATGAGAGCTGTTGAATGTATAGGTTTGGAGTTCAGAAAAAAGACCAAAATTAGAGTGTGATTTGGGAATCAATTCTTAGATGATAGAAATTAGAGTAGTGAAAATGGACTGTACCCATGTTACAGAAAGAATAACATGATTTTTGCAATCAGAAAATTAATTGTGGGAATATGGGCAATTTAGTAACTTATAGACACCTTCCTCTACTTCTTAACAGTAGTGTCAAAAGTGTGCAAAGAGAGACTATATATGGAAGTATTTTACGAAATACTGAGGGCTAAACAAATGTTAGATGACCCTATTGCTGAGTATTAAGTATGTCCTTATATTGCCAGAAGGGAAAATATACCTCGAGTTGCACAATTTATAAAATATATTTATGTCCAGTCAGATTCTGCTTGGACCTGGTATTTATATCTAAACCTCAGTTTCTGTATGTGTAAAATGGGAATGATAATAAGTAGCACCTTAAAGTCATCTGTTGTTTGCTTAAAGTCTCTTTCTCAAGCATTTGTCTCTGATGGGGTATAAGAATGCTATATGATGAATTCTTTAATTTTTTCAAATAGTTTGCATTCTCCCTGGCAGGTGAAGGATATTTTGTTGATTGTAGGATTTCTTTAGGTAGTTTTATATGCTGTTCCGGAGCTTCTCAACTTTGGCACTATTGACATTTTGGACCAAATAATTCTTTGTTGTGAGAGAGCTGTTATTCTTGTTATTATAGGATGCTTGGCAGCATCCTGGTCTTTACCCACTAGAAGTCAGTAATACTCACTTCATTCAGGAAAACCAAAAATGTCTTCAGACATTGCCAAATATCTCTGGAGGACACCCCACCCTATTCGTGAATCACTGTGCTACTCTACTGTCCTCTAGCCTAGTGAATCTTAATCTCTCAGGTGGTAAAGGGCCATTTCTCCTCAACACTTGTGAATACTTTTGAAAAATACAACAAAAATGAATTATCAGAAAAATTAGATGAAATACAAAACAATGAAGACACACAAAATACACTCTAATTTTTATTATTAAATTCAATTGATATAAATTAATTGCTTTAACAATTTCTAAGTACTTATTACCAATTTTTGTATCGCTGTAGACCAGTAACACAATTTTTATACTACTGCTGGTCCGCAGATCACACTTGGAGCAGTAGCAGTATAACTTGATTGGAAATCCAGTATCAGTATGACGATGATTATTGTTATTAGGTAATTTGGGGGGTATGGGGATTGTTAGCATGTCTCAGGTTTTCACTTCAAAGTTTGGACATTTTACCAGGCTATATTGAGGTGTGAATCTTTTATCACTATTTCAAAATAGGGTTTGGTAAGCCTTTTCGCCTTAATACACTATCTCAATCTGAGGGAAATTTCTTCCAATTACTTATAGCCTCCTTATTCCCGTTCTTTTGGAATTCATGTTTGCATATATTTGTCGTAATTTGGAATGTTTTTGCATTTGATTTTTTGAGACATGAAATGATGTCTCAACTGAGAGCATTTTCTAATTTATCTACTGAAATTTTTTAGTTTGAAAATCATGTCTTTTAGCTTCAAGAAGTTGAAGGCCTTGGAAATCTGGAAGTCCTCATTTTTAAAAATCAAGCTTTTATGTCCTTTACAAATTCTCTTTTACTGATGAGTTCGTACTGTTTGTTTTCCCCTCTTTTTTGGTAGATTCTCTTGGGCTGCTTGCTCTTTTTCCTTGCTGGTTCTTTTGGACTTAAAGATTTGGTTGTTACTGAATGCCTTGAATCTTGCAGTTCTAACAGGCACTTCAGTTTCTCCTCCTGTGGGTCTGCCAAGTAGAAACTTTCAGGCTATTAATCCTGGGCTGAAGCAGCTGTCTTCGATGTCCCTGCCCAGCTAGAGGGCAGGGACATCGGAGACAGCTGCTTCAGCCCAGGATTAATAGCCTGAAAGTTTCTACTTGGCAGACCCACAGGAGGAGAAACTGAAGTGCCTTGAGAAAAGGCAATTTACTAACATCCTAGCTTGACCGTTTCCTCTGGTCCAAGACTTACGTTCATGGAGAAGAAACACCCATCCTATATGTAGTGCTTTCTGCATCTAACCATAGTGGATCCACACACAAGGTCTGAGTTCTAATGGCTCCTAGGTCCCAGGGCATTTTGGTTAAGAAGTAAAAACATGCCATGAAGAATGGAGAGGGAAATAGAGCTATGGTCAGGTAACTGTTCTTAGTATTCACTGAGTTCTAATATGCTTTAAGTTCTGAAGCAATTAATACAATTAGATTCCCACTATATGATATATTTAGAGGTATTTTATAATTACATACATGTTAAAGTATATTAACATTCTAGTGCTTGTTTTCAATAACAGAATCACCATGATTCTTCAGAGGCTCTTCAGATTCTCCTCTATCCTTCAGTCTGCAATCTCAGTCCATTTGAGGAGGAATATTGGTGTTACAGCAGTGGCATTTAACAAAGAACTTGATCCTGTACAGAAACTCTTCGTGGACAAGATTAGAGAGTATAGAACTAAGCGACAGTAAGTGGGTAGATAATCAACCATGGTATAAATATTTAAAGTATGTAAATTTCGAGATGGTAATTAAAAAATTACTTGGTGTTTGAAACTGTCTGAGACCACTGAGCTGAACCTTGACATACAGGTTCATAAGGTGCTCTAAAAGAAGGAGCAAAGATCTTGAATTTTTTTTAAGTCACAAATTTTGTCTTTTTTATATGGGTTCTAAGGGAGAATCCTGTTATATCTTGTCATATTAGACATATCCTTATTATAACGCCATTTATTATAAACTAGAATCAATTCATGGAAGTATATAAGATCTTGTAAATCATTTTGGGTCTAAACAGTGGTTTCCCCTTCTGTGGTTCCAGTTACCTGCGTTCAACCTCCATCCAAAGGTGTTAAATAGAAAATTCCAGAAATATACAGAAATATAAAAATATAAGTTTTAAATGTCATGTCATTCTGAGTTCTGAGATGAAATCTTTCACTGCGCTGATCTGTCTGGCCTGGGATGTGAATCATCCCTTTGTTTAATGTATCCATTCTGTGTATGTTACCTGCCAGTCAGTCACTCAGTAACCATCTCCGTTATTAGGTCGGTTATCAGAGGGAGAGAGAGGGAGGGAGGGAGAAAGATCATGTTCACATAACTTTTACTACAGTATTTTGTTGTAATTGTTCTATTTGATTATTGATGTTAATCTCTTACTATGTAATTTTTAAATTAAACTTTATTGTAGGTATATATGTATAGAAAAAACATAGTAAATATAGAGTTCAGTTTTATCTTCAGTTTCAAGCATCCACTGGAGATCTTAGAATGTATTCCCTGCATATAACGGAACAACTGTATTTGAAAACTTAAACCCCTTAGACATTGATTAGCCTTAAGTCATTAAACTAATTGGGGGGAAAAACATATAATCAAAATATTCTAACTCAATTTAGTGCCATTTCTGTGACATCGTGATTTAGGGGAAATAGTAAACATAACTTTTTTTTTAATGCTTTTTCCATACTTATATATTTCTGGGAATATCAAAAGACCGAAGAGTCTGAAACGGTATAAAACAAGTCCAGGAAAATCATGATTACAGGTCTGAAACGGTATAAAACAAGTCCAGGAAAACGGTATAAAACAAGTCCTTAATGAAGGCCTTGAAAATCCAGGAAAGCCATACAGTTTTAGAGATGAATGATGACCTTAGCCATCATCAAGTTCAACCCCTAAACCTTTGGAAAAGGTTTATAATTTAATAATTTGATTTTTTTAGTTTTATTTTTAAGTATTTAGTTGTCTCCCATGTGTAAAACACTGGGCTAGCAATTGTGGTGGGCCATAAAGAAAGAAGCCACACTATATTTCCACAATATTCTTAATATCTGCTAGAGATAGAAAGCTTGTAAGCAAGTAAATACACTCTAAGATAAAATGAATTAGATGCTGAGATATCAGGACATTCAGGTGTTTGGGTAGTTCATAGGAAAGAAAGCTCCTTTCTAGTTGTAGGCATTTTAGAGGGTGTCTTGGAAGAGTGACTGTTTTGTCTTGGATTTGAAGGCAGTGTTTGAGGTCATTTATCCCTCTTGAGAATTTCATGGACAGCTATGGATCATTGTCCTAGTTTAAAAAAAAAAAAAAAAAGAATTTACTCACAATTTTGCTTATAGTTTGAGAGGGTTCTCAGACCCACAGAGGTCATCAATAGACACACCCAGGAGTCTACCCAAAGCTACGAACAATTGGTGTTTAGATAAGATTGGACAGATCAGTGGGGGTGGGAGGAGAATATCTTTTAGGAGGAAAGAATGGTAGTGTGAGCTAAGGCATGAAAACTAGAAAGCATTTTTGGGAAATTGTGTAATGCTATTTCCCAGGACTGTAGGGTATATGAGGAGTGTGGGGGGTGGGTAAGCATAGAATGGGGTTAGAATGAGGGGTTAATGAAGGCCTTGATTATAGACTGGACAATTAAGATATTATATGAAAGCCATTTACGAGACATTAAAGGTTTTTGAGCAGGATGTTGGGGTGAAACGAGACTATTCTGTATTAGGAAGATAATTTTAATCACAGTGTATTGGGAAAATTGGAATGAGAAAAGGAGGAAAACATGTTAGAAAAGTGTAATAATCTAAGCATTGGTTGATGAGCACCTTGTCTTTACGGCAGTGAGAATATAAAAATGACAGGGTCAAGACACAGACTTTTGAGACTAGGCAGCTAACAACATGGTTTTGTCATTACCAAAACCAAGGAGCGGGGAGAGTGAACGAGTTAAAATGAAGAGATTGCTATGAAACTCGCAGCAACCTTATTGATTTATCTACATTTTATATATTAGAAAACTAAGGCTAAAAGGTTAAAATTTGCCTAAAATCACACTATTTAGTAAGTGGGTGTTGGAGAATTTGAGTGTCTTCTGTCTGGAGGTGTCAAGGCATCATAGTATTGATGCTGTTTGCACCTCAGCTGTCCTTGAAGCCTGTCGTATAAGAAGTCAGTCCTTTGGTATACCTAAATCTAAGGAGTCTAGCTCATTCATTTGTGTGGATGAGCTAGACTCCTTACAATAGCATGGAGAAGTGTTCTGAACATGGATGCTGGGCCAGAATCCAGCTCCGCCACTTATTAGCTCTATGATGTTGGGCAGGTTATTTAACTTCTGTATTCAGACTCCTCATGTGTAAAATGGGGATGATGGTAACAGTACCTGTTTCAAAATGAAGTGGTTCAGTAAATTAGCATGCCCAATATTTGTTAAGTGAAATAAACAAATCTCCCTTGAGTGTCCTACTTTGTTCTCGTCACCAGGCTAGAGCCTGGGGATATACTAATAAATAAGGTGGGCTGGGAGAGACTTATAGTCAGTTGAGGAGGTAGATGATTCCTGGCCCTTTTTTATCATGGGTACATATTAAAGTTGTAACAGCCATCATCTATCAGTGACCGGTATATTGATGAAACTGGCTGGGTCTTTTCAAAACAGTTTCTAAAGCTTGTGGATCCCAGAACTGGAAGGCAATCATCAAAATATCTGGTAGAAGTCTCTATCAATTGCACTGTATATTTCAATAGCTATTATTCACATGAGACTATTCAAATTCTAATTAATTATAATTAAGTTTAAATAAAAATTCAGTTTCTCAGTCACCTTAGCCATATTTCTAGTGCTCACATATTCAATAGCACAAATAGAGAGCATTTCTATCATCACAGAAAGTTTTATTGCACATGCCGATCAGAAGAAAATTGGGTCCATGACAAGAAATATTAATAAATTTCCTTTTCCCATTTGCCCCAAGATAACTTGCAGATTACAGTCTTAACTTTACCCCCAAAGTTTGCCGTGAAATATCTCGCTTATATGATTATTTTTGCACTGCTCTGGTATATTGATAGTCTCTGAAACAAATGACATCGATCTATTTATGGCATTTAGTAGTTCAATCACTGAAAATGTCAGATCCTAGAAATGGCATTCCTACGTGAGCTGCACTTTTTTTTCTAAATAGGAAAAGGGTTGAATTTAGATCTGTCTCTAAATTTAGATCTATTTTTTTGTGGAAATCCTGTAACATTAAGACCCTGTACCTTTATTATAGGCATGTGTAGAAATATTACTACCCTTGCTGGAATTTTCACTTGTAAATTTTTTGTTTATTGTTCATTGATATGCAGGCAGTAACAGCATGACAAACACAGAAGAATTTGTGCAAAGATTTAAGTAAATGTAATTGACCCCATTGCTATATTTATCTTCCCAGAGCACAACTCTACTAATTTTGTCATTTTATTTCTTAGCAAATAAAATACAAAACTAGGCTTAACATTGCAGGCCTCCTGTGATTTGCGTCCTGCTGGCTTTTCCATCTTGACCGCTTAATGTTCTCCACACATATTCAATTCTTCATCATCTCTGTATCTTTGCTTTTTCAGTCTTAGATTGTCTCAAAATAAAAATCTGACCCAAATGCATGATTTGCCACAAATGCCACTTTGTTAAAATGAAATTTTTCTGATTAGATTAGCAAAAGTGCTTTCAACTTGAGTAGCTTTTTGTTAAACTGTCTTTGAAGCTTGTCACATGATTCTCTTACAGCATAAATGTTTATAAACATGTTAATTTTTTCTTCTAAATGGCACAACTTCTGAGGATAGGAAATCATTTGCTTCTTTGTTAGGCCCCTATTATAGAGACTTAAAGTTACTAAGATCTTTTAAAAGCCATTTAGTGGTAGCTGATTTAAATCAGGTAATAAGAATAAGTAGCATGAATGTTCACTATGTGCCCGGCACTATGCTAAGTGGTACATATTAGGTGGAACCTTGAGTTTTAGATGTGAAACAAGTTTAGAGTGCATCCTGCATTGCTCCGTTGATGCAGTTACTAAATTGCAGAACTGACATTCAAGCAGAAGTAGTCATCGACTCCAGAGTCGATGGACATAGTCATTCCTCCTCGTTGCAGCTTAGACCCCGAGGGATGCTGACTTAAAAAGTGTCCTTGATACCAGAAACCCTTGACTGGTAGAGGTGTGTTTAAATTTGTCTTACATTTATGTGAAACCTCACATTAAAATAGTTTGAATTGAAATTCAAGTGGAAATACTTATTTTCTTTTGGCAAAGTCTGTATTTCCCCTATGTGAGTATCTTTAAAAGGTCTACTGAAACTTGATGGTGAAAAGTAATTTTGGTTTTGTAAACTAGTGCAGAAAATGAGTTTTTACTCGATCCTTTACACACAGGTCATCTGGAGGACCTGTTGACGCTGGCCCCGAATATCAGCAAGATTTGGAGAGGGAGCTTTTTAAGCTTAAGCAGATGTTTGGTAAAGCAGACATGAATGCGTTTCCTAACTTCAAATTTGAAGGTGAGTCTCGTTAATCATTCTTGTGGGAGATCATTTTAAGTGGAAAATATATACACTTTTTAAAACTTACTTGGATTGTTTAGAGGATTAAATGATAATATGTGAATTTTTTAGGACAGTGATGTATGTGTGGGAAGCTCTGGGATAAATGTTTGGCATTGGTATAGAAGATCAAATAATATGTGGGTCTGAAATCAAACTCCCTGATCTTGAATCCTGACAATGTCACTTAGGAACTGTGTGATCTTAGATAGTTAACTGATGCCTATTTCTCATCTGACATTTGGAGAGAATATCTTCCTTATGTGGCTGTTGTAGTTAAGTGATACATGTAAAGTCAGTTAATAGTTTGGCTCATAGTAGGTGCTAAATAAATCTTTAGCAATTTAATATTTCCATGTAGATGTTTGAAAACAGTAGATATTCACTAAAACAAAATCAGAAGATTGATGAGTTAAATATTGATGCCTTCTCGGTAATGCATTTTATTACAGTGTGGCTAAGCTTGAACCTTTTTATTTTCTCTTCTTAGATCCCAAATTTGAAGTCTTTGAAAAGCCCCAGTCCTGAAGAAATAATGTAAAATTTATTTGGTAATTTGTCCTAGATAAGTTGTACAGCTGATCAGAAGCTATCAGAATAAACATACCTTTCACAACTGTCAAATGTTCTTTTAATTCTGATTCCAAATAAATTATTCGATGATGTGGGATGTAGGCTTGAGTGTATTGAGTTCTGTGGTTCAGCATAGTTTTTAAATCTTCCTTTTTGGTGTTAACGAAGCAGATGGAGAACTTGGGTAAACTGGGCACAACCTGCCTATAACCTGGCGACTGTCCTCAGTGTGCAGGCATCCTTTCCACTGTGCAGACTCTGCTGTCTCAGGGGGCTGCCTGACCGGGGTGTCTGCCACGGAAGGCATTACATCCACGTGTGACGAAACGGTTTATGAGTCCTTTATCACAGCTTCTTCAGGAAACTAAAGTGTAATTTTGACTATGTACAGGAATATCCATTGTGTTTTAACTTCCATCTCCTCAAATATTAAATGCTTTTATCCCAGTAACCTAGGTCTTTCCTATTCCCTTACAGTTTGTGGTCACAGTTTCTTACAGTGCTATGTAGATAGAGGAGGGAAAGCTGGCAGCCAGTAGGGAGGAAGGTCTACAAAGGAACTCTGAAAGATTAAAGTTGTATGTACGTGTTTTCCCAAGTGTAGGAGGATCCAGCAGATATGTCCTGGATACATGGCATAGCAAGCACATCAAAATTTCAGTAACCGTAGATAGCTGTCACATTTTTTTAAAAAAGAAACAGCCGTGCCTTTTTATGTCTAACAATCTCTGACTTGTGTCAATAAATACGGGCCTTAATATGACTTCAAAGGTTTTCTTTAAAAATATAAAGTCAAAAAACAGCCTTTATGAGGAATAGATTTTTACTCTGATGTGCCACACTAGCTGAAGTCAAACCTACTGAGGAATATACCTTTTTCAAAAGATCTACAACTATTTCCTAGTGGTATATGTAGGAAGAAATAGCCCAGTTTTCTTCAAAGGAAGCTTAAGCAATGACAGTTCAGTTGAACTACTTTTATTTAACTGTAGGTGCTGATATAGAATTTGATGTTTAATTATAGCACAATGTAAAGGTAATTGAGGAAGTCTAGTTGCTCAGGTCCTTTCTCTAACCCCCGAACCCACCTGTGGCAGGCGAGCGGCCTGGCGTCAGCAGTGCGACTGCCAGTCAACAGAAGGACCGACCCTTTCAGCGCATGTTTCATCTTTTTCCCTTTCTCCCCTACTCAGTTTAGTTGACTTTTACCTTTTATAATCTCACATCTATTTTTCTCATACACATTTTTTCAAAAATCTCACAGCTATTTAGGGTTTGCTTGTTTATTACAAATGACCTCAACTTTCTAGGCTTTTAGCTATTTAAATTTAGTTTTCCTCCCTCGCTTGGTATAATGGGCTGAATTGTGTTCCCCTAAAATTCATATGTTGAAGTAGAAATCCCCAGCACCTAACAATGTGATTATATTTGGAGATAGGATTAAGTTAGAATGAAGTCATTAGGGTGCGCTAGAATCCAATCTGGTGTCCTATAAGAGGAAATTTGAGTTGAGGAAAGGTACAGAGAACTGGAAGGGGCCATGTGTCTGAATTATCTAGTGCTGCCTTTAATAATAATAACCAAAGAAGGCCATTTAGTGTAGTTTTTTTTGTTTGTTTTTAGCCATTACTGTCTGATTGCTGCCCTTGGTTTAGCAGGCCTATAAATGCTGGCTTTCTCTAGTTAGGTGCTGCATGCATGAGTTCTTGGGGGCTCTGTGGGCTAGGAGGTCTCCCCATTATACAAATTACCTTAAATGGGAGGTCCACTCCAACCCCATCTCTTCCAAACTTCCCTCGGCTCCCACTCTAATGGTACAGTTCAGTCTCTTGTTTCAGATGTTTGCTCTCAAGGAGACACTGGCAAGTAGCCTCAAGTCCAGCTACTTTGAAAGATACCTACTTAACCACAGGAAACATAACCTCGACCTAAGAAGTCATGGGTAGATGGGTGCTTCACCATTTCTCCTGATGTCTTCCTTGGTATCTTTTTCCAACCCTTGTTCACTCTGCTCACATGACTCTTTCCTTGGCAGGTACCTTCAACTTTTGCAAGTGATTCTCTAAAATTCTGCCTTGGGGGTGAGTTGGGGAGTAGAAGTTCTCACAAGTTTGACAAATTTACTGCCTCACACAATTTGGACAATTCTCTCCATTCCTCCCCACTCCCAATCCATCCATACTTCAGTTGACATGGAGGACTTGTTTGGTGGGATAAAGGGGAGATGACGGGTCATGATTTCAGGGTAGCACCACTGTCTCTTCATGAACATAGAAGGGGATCTTTATACCCAAATTATGTTTTTCTTTAGAAAGTGGAACACTTGTCTTCAGCCTTTAGGCAACAGAACAAGTCTCAACATTATTACATGAATATACCTTTATGTATAAAACTTTCCTCATTCTCTTTGCTATGTGTTCCTAAAATTTAGCCAGTTTTCAAAAATTATTTTTCTACAATTGACATTATATTAATTGCAGGTATACATCATAGCGATTATATATACCTTAGGAAGTGTGCACCCCAATAAGTCTAGTACCCATCTGACACCATACATAGTTACTACGATATTGCCTATATTCCCAATGCTGTACTTGATGTCCCCATGACTATTTTTATAACAGGCAATTTGTTCTTCTTAATCTCTTTCACTTTTTTCACCCAACCCTCTCAACCCCCTTCCCATCTGGTGGCCATCAATTTGTTCTTTGTATCTATAAGTTTGTTTCTGTTTCATTTGTTCATTTATTTTGTTTTTTAGATTCCACATGTAAGCAAAGTCATACAGTATTTGTCTTTCTCTGTCTGATTGATTTCACTTAGCACAATACCCTCTAGGTCCATCCCTGTTGTTGCAAACAGTTAAGATTTCATTCTTTTTCACAGCTGAGTAATAGTCCGTAGTATATATGTACCACATCTTTATCCATTCGTCTTTTGATGGACACTTAGGTTGTTTCCATATCGACTATTGTAATTTAATGCTGCAATGAACATAGGGGTGCATATGTCTTTTCAAATTAGTATTTTGGATTTCTTTGGATTAATACCCAGAAGTGGAATTGCTGGGTCATAATAGTTCTAATTTTTCATTTTTTTTCAGTGGCTTTTTTTTTTCGTTGTAAAATATACATAACAAAATTTGCTGTTTTAACCATTTTAAGTGTGCATTTCAGTGGCATTAACTACATTTGCACTCTCATGCAGTCATCACCAATAACCATCTCCAGAATATTTTCATCATTCCAAACAGAAACTCTGTACCCCTTAAACAATAACTTGCCATTCCTTCCTGTCCCCTGAGTCTGGTAACTGCCATTCTGCTTTCTGTCTATGAATTTGCCTGTTATAGATACTTCATTAAGTAGAGTCATTCAATATTTGTCCTTTTGTGTCTGGCTTCTTTCACTTAGCATAATGTCCTCAGGGTTCATCCATGTTGTAGCTCACATCAGAATGTCCTTTTTTAGGCTAAGCAATACTCCATTGTGTGCATATAATACATTATGTTAATCCACACATCTGTGAATGGGCATTCGGGTTGTTTCCACTTCCGGCTATTGTGACTAATGCAGGACCTCTGTACTGTTTTCCATAGTGGCTGTACCAAGTTACAATCCCACCTACAGTGCATGAGAGTTCCCTTTTCTCCACATTCTCACCAACACTTGTTTGTTCATTTATTGATGCTAGCCATTCTGACAGGTGTGAGGTGATATCTCCTAGTTTTGATTTGCATTTTGCTGATTAGTGATGTTGAGCATCTTTCTGCTCTTGGCCATTGAAAAAAAAAGTTTCTTGCCAACAGCAACTTCAATCTAATTAACAGAAGTTAGGATGTGAGTTTGAAAATGAAAAACTAAATGGCAGGGGCAATTTTAGGAATCCAACTTTGGATCATAGAAAATCTCAGTTTTTACACCATCTTTAAGAAGCACTGAAAAGCACATTCAATGTTGAAAACATAAATTAAAGGTTTAAAACAGTCTGTTCTCAATCTTAGAGAAGTTAAATAGGTCCTTTGTTAACACAACTATTCATTTGTTTTGAGAGCATTTTCTTAGAAAGTATAAAGACATTTTATACCCTAGTATATCTTAGTACATTTTTTCAAATGTACTAAACCCGGTCAAATAAAAATATGGAATATATTAAAAAGTAATAAACAAGATTAAATAGAAAGTATCAACAAATAAGAGTTTATAGTTTACCCTGAATTTCCTGACCAGTTATTACTATCTTTTTTTTTTTGGTTATTACTATTAAAAGTGTTCCAAACTCTTATAGAACAAGAAACAAAGAATGGGAAATTAAATTTTAAAACCTGAAAATTGGAAAAATATTTAAGATCTTTTTAAGAACTAAGTGAAAATGGATGCCTAATAAGTAAAAGGAGTAGAATAAGAAAAATTTCTGTCTAGCCTTAATTTATGGAGCAATAATTCATGTAACTTTGCATAATAAATGAACTGGATTATAATAACTGCAGAATACAATATTTTATTAATATCCTAACTAAACCTATGGAGAAATTTTTTCAATAAATATTCTTTAAATTGCCCTTTCATAAATGTTCTTTGAGTTTAAAAAAATAATTCAGCATTCATTAGCTACTGTCTGGGAGGCTCTGAATTCTGGGATAAAAAGTTTAGACTAATAGACTATGTATAAAAAAGAATGAAAGGTTTTTAGCATAGGGGTGGGAAAAAAGGGAGTTGACATTTTTTAAGAGAGTAGTCTGGCAGCAAGTGACTGATGTGAGGAAGGGAGAGACTAGAGGGCAAAGGAGCCTTTAGAACAGGAGATCGAAACTGACTCAGAGAGAGTACTTGAGGGAGGACGATCCCAGAAGGTCCTAGAAGACAAAAGGTGAAATAGTAACAGAAGCCTGAGATGAAAAGTTGTGACAATCATAAAATGCACTAAAGAGTGAAGTCAATGAATGAACGGGAAGTAAAAGATGGGGAGATTTAGCAATAGGAAGGGTGGTGGTGGTAGTGATAGAATTCAAATGGATTCATCATGTATTCTTCAACATTTTATAAAAGATTAGAGAGCTGGGCATCTGTGGTGAGGGGAGAGTGGATGAGAATGAAATGTCCCACCATGGCATTTGGACTGGGTAGGGGAGAAAGGGAAGACAGGAAGATGTTATAGGCTGTGAGGCTGGGGAGGGGCAGCTGGGCCAGAGATTACTAAGGATGAAGGGAAGGTGTAGTACCAGAGAAGAATTTGAGAATTTAATAGAAAAAATGTTGGAGGCAGAGAAAAAACATCTTGCCTGAAACATCTTGGGTCAGATGGACCTGGGTCATGTAGACCGATTCCTTCCTTAGCTCCATGAACCTAGCAGTCACTGATGCTCAGCCTCAGTTTCTTCATCTGTAAAATTATGACACTGCCCACTTTCTAATATCGTTGAGCTGAGATTTTATACACCCTCTTCTCCATCCGCCCCCACTCTGACATAAAGTGTTCAATAAATACCTGTGGCCTTTTTATTTTCAGAGCATTTTTTTTTTCAGTGTTTGAGAGATTGGCAGACATCCAGATTGAGAGATGAGATTCTAATCTCAAGATTCTAATCTAAAGAGCTAGCCCTGTAGCTACCGATGGTAAGAGGGTGTAGTTTCCTGGATTTTACTGAACAATAGGTCGATGACTCTTCCCCTGCACTGTTTAAAAAGTTTAACAAGTTCAGCTATTTTTATTAATGTAAACTTTAATAAAACCATCTGCGAGATAAAGGATTTTTTTTTGCAAAGCTGTATTGAAAAACAACCACTTGTTCCAGATATAGTTAGGTTAAACTTTCAACTAAAAATAAATTAAACCTACATACAACAGCAACGATAATAATTAAAACAAAACAAAACTTGCTATTAAGGATTCTAGAGCCCGAATCCTACAGCACAACTTCACTGTAGAAAAATAAAATCAAATGCTCTAAAAATTATGAGATTTTACCAATCGCTACTGAAGTCCTTCAAATAAAAGCAATTGAAGAAAAAAAAAAAACACGCAAGCCCAGACACAAGTGGATATACTTTTAATAATTGGAAAGTGAGTGCTCAGTACTCTATCCTTTGTGAGAAAGCATTCTTCACACGATTTTTATTTAGCTGTATACAATATTTTAAGATAATATGTAATATTTGACAAAGTGTTAGATGCTAACACTGCATAAGGTGAATCCTCTAGCCTGTGTGGCTTAGAACCTTTTCATCTATTTGTAGAGCTAAGGCACTGCTTATTTTTTCCCCGCAAAATGGACTTGTCATTTATAGTGCAGTTGATCTTGCATGTTGGTAGCTATGTTTAAAGAGGCATCTTTGAGACTCATATATCCCCTTGGCACTTGGTAATGAAAGAAGAAAGCATTACCCAAACAAAGCAAATCAAAGGATGGGTAACATTAAGCATAATTTCTACAAACCTTATAGTTTTGTTTTTTTTTTTTCCATGCTTCACCATCAGGAGTTGGGAAACTGAATGTAGGCCAAATCCTGTCGTGACTGTTGTTTTGTAAATAAAGTTTTATTAGAACACAAACATAACCACTCATGTGTGGCCACTTCTGTGCTACAATGGCAGAGTTGAATAGTTATAAAGGACCTTATGGCCTGTGTGACTTAAAATTCCTACTATCCAACCCTTTACAGAAAGTGTTTGAAGGAGACTGGTGAGAAGCATTCAATGCCACAGACAAGTGTGCGGGGGCAGCCTGACAATAGGTATCTTCCCAGTGACCTGGTGTCCAGGCACAGGTTAGATACTCAGTGAGTGCTTAATCCATTTGTCCAGCGAATCCTGAGAATTTGCTTTGCCTATTGGCCAGAAAGAATAGACTCTTTTAAAAGCAGCTTAACCGTGTTCAAAGTTGTCAAAGGTAGCAAGTGACCTTACCATCCAGATTTGCCCAAAACTAGAAATGCTCTAAACGTATTTTGTTTTTAATGTGAATAATCAAAACAAGTTATAGATAATTATTCTTTTAACATGGACTAACTGACGTTACTATTAAACTGACCATTGGAATTTTCACTCTGTTACACTAGCTGGAGGCCCTTGTGATTAATCAGTGGAGACCCCAGATGATTAGACCTTTTTCATTTCAGCCACTGTTTCTCCTCTTTGAAGCAAGAAGGATGCCAAGGCAGGGAGTCACAGTGAACTCCTCCGACTCATCTTACTTGTCAGACAGCCACTCCTCTCCTTCGTATCCCCGGCTTTGTGATCAGCAGAATTGACAATACACTGATGATGAGAGCAAGGAACTTGGCCCAGTCCAGGATTTCCCTGCATGATTTTTAGAGATGTGAAGTTAGCATCCTGAAGGGAAGGGGATCTGCAGGGTTCTGTATGTAGGTAGGCTCCAGGGGCAAGTTCTGATGTCAAGGTCAACTGATCCTCTACAGAGTGGTCTTAGGGGTAGGAAAAAGAAACAAGCAGCTCTGGGCGTAAAATAAAACACTTGGGTTTGACTCTCAAAATTATGTTTAATGAAGAAATCAATGGCACACGCCAGGTGAGTGAGTTCTGGTCGTTAGGTATTTTTCTTCATGTTGTTTTTGGTTCTCAGAAATGGAAGTAAACACGAGGTGCAAATCCTTGGGCATAAGACCCACTCCCGCTACCTCCCTCCTGGGGATATAGTCATGATAAATGAGCAGCAGAATAAGGATTGTATTAGGGGAGAAAAGAGGATTTGGGTGGAAATGAGACCAGTTTCCTTTTGCATCTGTCAGAGTATTTTCTGAACCCTCTAAATCAGACTCTTGCACAGAGGGTGCTTGCGGTTTACATTTGCATGTTCTGTGGATTAATTTCACAATGAATATATGGTATATTTTAATAACTTTCTCTAGAAGTTAGGACATTAACATTTCACAAACCTCAGAATGTTACAGAGTATTTTGTTTCTTTTAACTTAGTCCAGACACAAGAAGCCAGACTATATTTCAGGTGCTGACACAACTATTTGTTTAAAATAACAATTTCAAGTGATTTAGCAGTCATAAAAGTTATAATGAAATACCAATTTCATCTTGCCATGAACCTCTTTGTAAATGTAAGACAAAGCAGAGTTTTATAATCTTTTAATAACTTGTGTAACAACTGTGGTTTTGGTGTATCTCAAAGGTGGAATTCTTTTAAATTATAAAGGATTTTGTATGCTTGAAATCCTAGGAAAAGAAAGAAAAACCAAGTTGAAATATAATGTATTAATTCATAATTAAAGAAATATATATATCTTATGAGCATAAAGCTATATCTGCTATGGGAATCTTACAGGTACAAACCAGCTTATATTTAACTAAATCTATTTATGGGGAATTAAATGATTAAATAGTAGGAGACACAGTCTTTGAAACTTGGCCTACAGAGTAAAGAATTAGGAGTGGAAACTAGAGCAGGGAAAATCTTGTTTGCTAGAGGTGATCTACTGGTACCTAGTGGGTAGCAAGTGGTGAGGGGCGCTGCTAAGACTTCTCCAATGCACAGGACGCAAACAAAGTCCCCCACAACAAAGAGTTATGTGGAATTATAAGACTTCATTATATAACAATTATAAGAAATTGTCATTTCTTACATAAATTCTTACATATGAAATATAAGACAACGTCAGTAGAGCCAAGGCTGAGAAGCCCTATTCTACGGCAAAACAAAGTTGGAGACTCTAGCTCTCAACTGATGAGAGCAACAGAGGCAAATAAAGAAAAAGGAAAAGTTCTTTGGCCTCATCCACAAAGTGTTTCTAACTGGTGGGACGAGTTTATTTTATTCCACATTCTAGAAGTATTTTCCACAATTGTGGAATTACATATTGCTTATCTGCTAATTAAAGAATAAAATGCTTTCAGTGTAGTAAACTGGAAAATAAAGTGACTCCTGTGACAGAACCTGAAGTAGACAATTTTTTAAGTTTTTGACAGAAAAAACTCTATAAAGCAGTATGTGGATCTTCAACATCGGGGTCCATCAGAATCAGTTAAATGTTTAAATTATTGATGTCATGCCTCATCCCACTGTAGTAAAAGGAAATTTAAGAGAATCTCTGCTAAGGAATTCAGAGAACCTGCACCCCACTTCTCAAGAAAAGGCTTAGGCCTTTAAAAAAATTGGAACCCCACTCCCAACTATATTCCTGAAAAATAATCTAGAAGGTTGAATATCCATCCAAAGAGCTACATAATCTGAGCAATTATGGTATTTACTGCTTCACTGTAGGGTTTACAAAAGCAAAAGTAAGGCAGGGTCCAAATGTCTAAACTTTGTTCCCACAACCATCTGACCTAGATAATAACTGCATCTTTTCAAGGATTTCTGAGACACTACTTTCAGCAAGAGCAGATGATAACCCTGTTCTGAAAATGTTTAAGTGCTTTGAAGAACCAAAGGACAGTCCTGGCATCCGGGTCTGCAGAAGCGGTCTGCAGAAGCGATCTGCTTGGTCCAGCTGACAAAAATCAAGGTACCTGGGTGGGAGCTGGGCTACTATAAACCTTTGAGAACTTGTATATTAATTTCCTCATCTATAAAACAGAGCTGAAAATGCCAGACCTAATGATACTAAGAGGCTGACTAATAAGAGAAAACATCATGAGAAAAAATAATGGAATGGTAAAGCCGCTTTGCTCTACAAATGCTGGCCGACTTTATTATGCCATCCCAGAGAGGGAATGGAAGCTAATGTTCATTTAGCTCCTCCTAAAGACCAGTGGTAGACACTCGTACAAAGTACATTATAAGTGAAAACCCATCACTTCCGTACAATTACTTCATTTCCTTGCCCTATTCCCTAAAAACATCCATTTTATAAATATGCTTTAAAAATACTCACATTTTCACTCATTGTAGTGCTTTTAGATGCAGAACCACTCTTCCTGTTTGTGGAATATAAAAAACAATATTTACTACATTATCACTTCCAACATATCCTCTTTCAGTTAAGGTTACCTCCATACACTTTCTCAGCAGGA